TTCTGATTTATTATATCAATGTTGAAGGTTCATATGAGATCTAAATTTATGAAATCTATAATGTATTCAATATATTTAAAAATAATAATTAATTGTTCAAATTCATTTAATTTGTGGACTAAAAAATTCATTAATTTGATCTCCACTACACACAATAAAATCTGGTTCCTAATTCTGGGATCGCAGACTTTTCTATATAATATGAATAAAAAATAAGTGAACAAAAAGGAGAAAATAAAAAAAAAACAAATCGAGAGAAAAATTACAATGGGAGAAAATAAAAATAAAAATAAAAATAAAAGAAAGAGGATGGTGGGATCATGAGATCATTGAAGGTTGGGTGAGAAAAAGAAAAAGTAAGAGAGAGAAGCGGCAAAATATAAAATATACATGTAGAATATTTTTGAAAAATATATCTCAACCGTTGTTTTATAATTTGAATAGATCTGAGCCGTCCAAATGTCCTAGTAGGACAAATGTGTGTATGACAAATTCAAAAACCGTCATGCTTTATTATATAGATGTTGAAGATTCATATGAGATCTAAATTTATGAAATCTATCATGTATTCAATATATTTAAAAATAATAATTAATTGTTCAAATTCATTTCATTTGTAGACTATAAAATTCATTAATCTAATCTCCACTACACAGAGTAAAATCAGTCTCAAAATTCTGGGATCGCAAATTTTTCCATATAATATGAATAAAAAATAAGTGAGCAAAAAGGATAAAATAAACACACACACACACACAAAACAATAATAATAATAATAATAGAGAGAGAAATAGAAATGGGAGAAATTAAAAAAATAAAAAGAAAAGGGAGAGGAAGGTGTGATCATGAGATCACAGAAGGATGGGTAAGAAAAGGATAACGTAAGAGAGAGAAACGAGAAAATAGAAAATGTACAGGTAGGATATTTTTTGAAAAATATATCTCAGCCGTTATTTTATAATTTGAATAGATCTGTGCCATCCAAATGTCCTAGTAGGACAAATGTGTGTAGGACAAGTTCCAAAACCGTCCTGTTTTATTATATAGATGTTGAAGATTCTTATGTGATCTAAATTTATGAAATCTATAACGTATTCAATTTATTTAAAAATAACAATTAATTGTTCAAATTCATTTAATTTATGAACTATAAAATTCATTAATTTAATATCCACTACACAAAGTAAAATCTGGCTCCTAATTCTGAGATCGCTGACTTTTCCATATAATATGAATAAAAAATATGTGAACAAGAAGGTGAAAATAAAAAAAAAATAAAGAGAAAAATAGAAATGGGAAAAAATAAAAAAAAATAAAAAGAAAAGATAGAGGAATGTGGGATCATGAGATTATAGAAGAATGGTGAGAAAACGGAAAAGTAAGAGAGAGAAGCGGGAAAATAAAAATGTACATATAGGATATTTTTTGAAAAATATATATCTCAGCCGTTATTTTATAATTTGAATAGATCTGAGCCGTCCAAATGTCCTAGTAGGACAAATGTCTGTAGGACAAATTCAAAAATCGTCCTGCTTTATTATAAAGTTGTTAAAGATTCATATGAGATTCAAATTTATGAAATCTATCATGTATTCAATATATTTAAAAATAATAATTAATTGTTCAAATTCATTTAATTTGTGGACTAAAAAATTCATAAATTAATCTCCACTATACATAGTAAAATCTGGCTCCTAATTCTAGGATCGCAGACTTTTCCATATAATATAAATAATAAATAAGTGAACAAAAAAGAAGAAAATTAAAAAAAAAAAAACAAATCGAGAGAAAAATAGAAATGGGAGAAAATAAAAAATAAATAAATAGGATATTTTTTGAAAAATATATATCTCAGCCGTTATTTTATAATTTGAATAGATCTGAGCCGTCCAAATGTCCTAGTAGGACAAATGTGTGTAGGACAAATTCAAAAATCGTCCTGCTTTATTATATAGATATATATATACATATATTATATATAAGAAAATTTTAATTAAAAACTCTTTTTCAAAGGTCTCCTATTGTGAGGAATCCCATTGCGAGTTTGAAATTATTGTGAAAGTCTTTACCTATTTATAAGAAAAAAATTCTTTCAAAAAAACTGAAGAAATTCATGTGGGATTTAATCAAATTTATTGGAAGGATACTTCAAATTTTGACATCCCTCCAAAATTTTTGCTCTTCTTTGAATCAAATTATTTGAATTAAAATCATATGGAGAGAATATTGAATACTTTGCTTTCTATTCCAAAATTAAAATTAATGATATTGTAAAATATATTATTATATTTTTTAGTAAAAAGCATATTAAGAAAAATATTTAAGATAATTTAATATTTTTAATTTTTTTTAATTTATAATTTTATTACTTATATTTTTATTTAAATATAATTTTAATATCTTTTTGATTTCATGATTCAAAATGCAATTTTGATTTAACCAGACGGTTAAACCGATAACCTATTCACTAAATCCCTTTTCCGATTCGCTAATTGATCTGATTTTTAAAACATTGTTTGTGGGTACAACTTCTAATATGTTTCCAAACACACTAAAAACTTATACCCCACTTGAAACATGTTAGATTAGTTAAAAAATTAAAAATATCAATACAAACAATTGATTTATTTTTAAATTTTATACACTTTTTTTTTTCTTCTTTTTTTTGTAAATTTTTTTTAAAAAAGTCAATATCCGAAGATTTAGTTGTCTTGAGTGTTAACTTGGCTTGATTGAAGAGGAGCTCATTGGAATCTTGGTTGACATTGACAGTCGACTTTTACATTTGATTTTTTAATTTACTGCATTTAGTTGAAAGATTTATGAAAAAAGAATTTAAAAAAAATAAAAAGAATTAGTCAAATATAAATAAAATATATTTATATTAGGGGTTTTTTTTAAGGTCCCTGGTATTAATTAAAAATAAGTAAAATATAAATAAAATATATTTATATTTTACATATATTTTTTGTTTTCCTTTTTAAATTCTTCAATCAAATAGGACGGTAGGAGATTTTCTTCCTTTCTTCTCAAATCTCTTTAATCTAATGGGTGGGGTAAGGGGCAAAGTCCAGAGAGCTAAGTCTTCATTCTAAAAATGGGCTGCCTCATACATGAATCAGGGCCCCAAGAATTGTAATTGTGAGAAGCTGAAGGGAAAGCTGTATAAATCATTGCCCAAATCTTGAGAATTGACACCCTCGACAGCCTCTCACCATGTTTCGTTTGTTTTCAAAAATTTATTTTAATTTTTTAAATAAAAATTAATTTAATTAAAAAAAACACTTACATTTTTACATAATTTTAACTTTTGAGAAATCAAAAATAATTATTAAAAATAAAAAAATATTTTTATATTTATTTTTATCAAATTAGTTATCATTTTTTCAAAAAAAAAAATTCTGATATTTTTTTTAAAAAAACAAATCAAACAAGGCCAATGCTGGAACTCAGCTAATCAATCTTTTATTCAACTAAATATCTTTTGTGATTTAAATGAATCATCATAAATTTTAATTTTATCTGTGTCATGTCATATCAAACTTGAGAATTGTGACTCATGAGGTTTAGTTAGTCTCTTCATCATATTTTGTTGGTCTGCTTTTCTATTTTAGTTAATTTTAAAATATTTGACCATTTTTTATTTTTAGATACTAAATTTTGTTAGATTTTTAAAATTGTTCATTATAAATTTTAGGCCAAGTTTGGCATGAGACAAAAAAGATAAAAAGTCAAAAAGTCACTATCCTATTTAAGTCACATCATCTTATTTAAGTCACATCACCTCTCTAACACATCACTTCAAACCCAACCCAAACCCAACCCATATTTCATAAAAAATCAAAAAGTACACTTATTTAGTCTTCCCAAACTAGGCCTTAATTTTAACTGTGTCATGTCATATCAAACTAAAATATAAATAAAATATATTTATATTTTACATATATTTTTTCTTTTCCTTTTTAAATTATTCAATCAAATAGGACGGTAGGAGATTTTCTACCTTTCTTCTCAAATCTCTTTAATCTAATGGGTGGGGTAAGGGGCAAAGTCCAGAGAGCTAAGTCTTCATTCTAAAAATGGGCTGCCTCATACATGAATCAGGGCCCCAAGAATTGTAATTGTGAGAAGCTGAAGGGAAAGCTGTATAAATCATTGCCCAAATCTTGAGAATTGACACCCTCGACAGCCTCTCACCATGTTTCGTTTGTTTTCAAAAATTTATTTTAATTTTTTAAATAAAAATTAATTTAATTAAAAAAAACACTTACATTTTTACATAATTTTAACTTTTGAGAAATCAAAAATAATTATTAAAAATAAAAAAATATTTTTATATTTATTTTTATCAAATTAGTTATCATTTTTTCAAAAAAAAAAAATTTCTGATATTTTTTTCTTAAAAACAAATCAAACAAGGCTAATGCTGGAACTCAGCTAATCAATCTTTTATTCAACTAAATATTTTTTGTGATTTAAATGAATCATCATAAATTTTAATTTTATCTGTGTCATGTCATATCAAACTTGAGAATTGAGACTCATGAGGTTTAGTTACTCTCTTCATCATATTTTGTTGGTCTGCTTTTCTATTTTAGTTAATTTTAAAATATTTGTCCACTTTTTATTTTTAGATACTAAATTTTATTAGATTTTTAAAATTGTTCATTATAAATTATTATAAACACATTTTAAAATTTAAATAGAAGGCCAATTGTGAGAAAATATTTCAAAATTTAAATTAAAATATAATAATTATATGTCTCCTTAATAAGTTAATTTTTTTATAGGAGTAATTGTAGGGATTATGAAAAAAATGTCATGAAGATAATCATGATTATACAAATAATAAAATACCACACACTAATCAAATGATAAAAAAATTTCATGATATTTTTTTCATAATTTCTAGTATTATTCATAGTTTTGAAAAGGCCACTATTTCACGTTCATTAAAAATGCGAAGCACAACACTTTTCATATATCCACACAGAGAGAGATTGTAATTGTTAAAAGCTCATTTCATAACTAATCTTTGGACTGCAAAGCAAGCGAACGTAGAAAACACTAACATAACATAACAGTTAATACATATTATTGTCTTACATTCTTTAATATAAATAAAAGAGAAAGCATGGAGACTGATGATCCTGTCCTCAAGGTATTCCACCACCCCCAATGCCACCACCAGCTCCTCCACCAAATCCCCCACCAGCTCCTCCTCCAAGTCCTCCACCACCTCCGCCACCAAAACCTCCACCACCTCCACCGCCAGCTCCCCCACCAAGTCCACCCCCACTTCCAAACCCACCACCAGCTCCTCCTCCAAAACCAGACCCACCCCCTAGTCCTCCACCACCACCACCGCCACCGCCGAACCCTCCACCACCTCCTCCTCCAAGTCCACCACCACCTCCTGCTCCAGCACCCCCACCAAAGCCAGCTCCTCCGCCGGCACCACCTCCTCCACCCAATCCACCGCCGCCTCCTCCTCCAAAAGCACCACCTCCTCCGCCACCTAACCCACCACCACCGCCGCCATGCCTCGGATGGTGAAAGAATGATTTCTCATCTTCAAAAGAGCCTTTTGAGGAGCTCACAAGCTTTCTAGCACTGGTGGTGCAAACAAGAGCACCAAGAAGCACAAGAAGAAGAAACTTACAAGTCATCTTTGCGATAGAGAGAGTTGGGAACTTTTGGTGTGAGAAGTGAGGAATCGAGAGAGTAATATATAGAGATGAGAATTGAGAGTCAAACATGAGATGAAGAGGACAGTTGAGAAGGCTTTTAATAAATATAACAATCTTTTTCTTCTTCTTCTTCTTCTCATCTATAAACAAACCGCGTTGGCAGAGTTAATACAATCAACTGTTTCTTTTGACTCTACAATACATACCCACACTCTCATCTC